CCCGAGTTGGGTTTTTTTTTGTTTTTTGTTTTTTCTTTTTTGAGACTGAGTCTCACTCACTCTGTTGCCCAGGCTGGAGTGCAGTGGCGCGATCTCGGCTCACTGCAACCTCTGCCTCCTGGGTTCCAGCGATTCTCCTGCCTCAGCCTCCCAAGTAACTGGGATTACAGACGCCTGCCACCACACCTGGCTAATTTTTTTGTATGTTGTTTAGGAGAGACAGCGTTTCACCGTATTAGCCAGGATGGTCTCGATTTCCTGACCTCGTGATCCGCCCGCCTAGGCCTCCCAAAGTGCTGGGGTTACAGGCGTGAGCCACCGTGCCTGGCCAATCTGAAACCTTTTCTAGCTCCTGAGACTGTGGTTCAAGGCAGAGCTATGCTTCCCCCTCCCAGCCCTGGCCCTGTGACCCCAGCTGTGCGCCTGGCACTGTACAGAAGCCTAAGAGATGCCCACTGCCAGAGCGGGAACCAAATCCTCATCTACTGGGGACCCAGGGGGTGCCCTCCCTGAGAGTTTGGCCTTTGGGCTCACTCCCAGACAGAGACTCCTCGGTTCAGCTGCTTGATTACCCCTGTGACAGAGAGCTCATTACCTCTCCAAGTCCATTACCTCTCCAGAGAGCTCATTACCTCTGCACTCCATGGCCCACCCTGCCATTCCCTGACAGCCCCGCTCTGGCCAGCATGATTTTCCCAGCGTCCTCTACCCACCACAAACCTGAGCCCCCCAACAGGCTTGCTCTAAGGGGACAAGTTGTGCTGCAGATGGGGCCTTAAGAAGCAGTGCTCTATGATAAAGAAGGTTGACTCATGTCTGGCAGGGCTTTCTGGAGTCTGTGGAGCTAAAGACATTAGCAGAATACAAAGCTGGGCTTGGTCACTGGCACTCCTGACTGCAGTGACACAGCAGCTCTCAGATGTGAGCCGTAGATCTCAGACCTTTCCAGAAGCTCAGAGTTCTTGCTATGTAGTGGGCCCCCACTGTTTCTACTCCTTTTCTTTTCTTTTCTTTTTTCTTTTCTTTTCTTTTCTTTTCTTTTCCTTTCCTTTATTTTCTTTTATTTTCTTTCATTTTGAGACACAGTCTTACTCTGTTACCCAGGCTGGAGTGCAGTGGCGCTATCTCAGCTCACTGCAACCTCTGCCTCCTGGGTTCAAGCAATTCCCCTCCCTCAGCCTCCCAAGTAGCTGGGATTATGGGCACCTGCCATCATGCCCAGCTAATTTTTGTACTTTTAGTAGAGACAGGTTTCACCATGTTGGCCAGTCTGGTCTCAGACTCTTGACCTCAAGTGATCCATCCTCCTTGGCCTCCCAAAGTGCTGGGGTTACAGGAGTGAGCTACTGCACTAGACCTTGTTTCTACACTTTAAACCACATGGAGGCTCCCTGAGGCCACCTGCTCCAATCCCAGGTAGTGACAATCGTGCAATGTCCTGGGAGCAGGAGTGAGATATCAGACAGTTGTGTTCAGGACTGGGCAGGTCTCATGCCCAGCTGGACCCTTCAAGCCCAGCACAGCCCCCCAGATTCCACATGTGGGGCAGCAGGGACTCCAGGCCTGAACTGTGCGGACCCAGGAGGGTCCATTACAGGGATATGCAGACCAAGGCCCAGAGGGGAGGGCTGGGCAGTCCCACAGATGCTTGGAGGGACCTCTGTGATAGCCCCACTTGTGTTTTCCAGGCCCGAGCTGCTCAAAGAGCCCATCGTGGAGAGTCAAGGTACCCAGCGTGGGGTCGCAGGCTGTGGTGTGGGCGGGCAAGGGAGGGCCCCAAGGGCTTCTGCCACCAGCCCCTCCTCCTGCTGCCTCTGTCCTGCTCCCATCCTGGCCCTGGCATTCTCCCCACACCCCCGCACTGGGTTTCCCCTAACGATGCCATCTTGGGTCCCAGGAACTGCCTCCTCACCTGGCGTCTCTCCCCCTGCCCTGCCCCCAGAGAGGGACTCCGGGGACCCTCTGGTGGACAAGAACCTGAAGAGACAGGGCTTTCAAGGTAAGGTTGAGCTCAGGGGGGAGGTCTGTTGTCCCAGCACCATGACCTTGACCTGGTTTGGGTTTGGAGGGCCAGGCTGGAAGTGGGGAGGAGCTGGCCCCCAACCTCAGGGCCTAAGGAACCAGGCAAGCCAGGTTGGCAGCCCAGGCCCGGCTGTACCCTGCCAGCTCTGTGTTAGAGACTCCAGGGGACAGGGGGTGCCTACAGGTGGATGGTGGGGGGAACTTGGAGAATGGGAAGGTATAGGGCCCAGGAGCCTGCC